GCATATAAAAACATAAAAACTTACTTTGTTTTACATCCTCCACATGCAAAATTTCACAAGGCTTAGCAAATTACGACAAGCAAGTACAAACTTCGTAAGTAGAATATATATCATTGTTTTCGATATTTCTTTATTTACTGTTCTATGTATTAAGAAAACTAACTGAAATTTAAGAATTTATTTGTAAATAGTAATAATATACATATATACTTATGTATTATAACCGAAATGGTTCGTTAGGACAAAGCTAAAACAGCTGCACTTTGTAAAGGCCAGTTTTATACTATTGGATATGGTAACATGATTGCATGTGTGCAGCATCATTGCAACTTCTGTAATGTAATGCTAGTCAGACACCAGTGAAAGGGCAATAAAATAATAAATATACATAGATGTATGATGTTATGAGATTTAAGCTATTTAAAATAAACATTTGTGGTTTCATATTATAACTTGTAGTCATTCTGGAACGAAAAAAGCATAATTTATATGTATGTCCTAATATGTTATGGTTATGAGGTTGGTTAGATCGACCAAACCCATGTAGAGATAAAATGCTGAAAATGTAAATTTTTTTTCTAGTAAAAAAAACGTTTTATCTAGAGGTTATAGAGATCTTGCATGTGAAATTTTACAATTTTCTGAGGCATAAAAGTATTTTTAATCTTTAAATAAAAATTAGTTTGCATGTTGGATAGTCAACATTTGAAAAGAAAAATGCATGAGCAAATCATTAATTAAAGAAATCTTAAAACTTAATTAAAAAGTATGATATTTTGTGTATGAAAGCCTCATAATGTTTTTGATAATCTACAAAATTTTGAGAAGATATGCATACATTTTAAAGTTACAGTATAACTGCTTTCTGGTTGCTTTGGGTTATCCACCCACCCATAGTAAAAGGTTTAAGCTCCTATGTACTGAAACCAACTCTTGCAGATAAACATCTGTGTTATAAATCCAACTGTGCTCAGACTGTTATGAAAGGAATCCTTAGATGTCTGTTTGAAAGAGCAACCAAACTGCGACCAAGAAATCCACACGTTCACACTTTACTGCAAGATTTACCAAAATGAGAAAAACAAAAGTAAGTGAAGGGTCACTGAATCTCCCTTCCCCCCAAAATCACAAATTAAGAACTTAAGTTTTCCAATATAATTTATTACACACATTATTTACAAAGTCAACAGAACCTAAAAGATGTTTGAGATTAAGACCTTTCTCTTTAGTGAGCAAGCACTAAAACAGTAGGTCAACAAGTTTTTCAAAAACTGTTATTTACCATGTTCCCTGCACCTGCAGTTACAATAGTGCACAGCCACCTGGTTCAGCAGTTCAAAAATGCTGTTCTGAATTGAATAACTGTAGATCTATTGATATAGCAAAAAGCAGGAAAGCTTTGGATGATAAAAAACATTAATGTTAGAAGCAAAATATCAATACTCAACAAACTTATTAGATTAGATCTCAACATTCTTTGAACATCCCTAATCAACTGAAATAGTCCTGTCAGGTTTTATATGTATGAGTTGGATTATTGTTGGCAATAAATTTCATACAATAAACAAACAGCACACAGTCCACTTGTCTTAAACTAATATATTAAAACAAGTGAAATGCATATTCATTACACTGTTGGTTATCACAGTTGTATCCAGAGCTTTAGGTAATTCTCTTTTTCATCAAAGTCCACACAGTCTGATTCAGTTCATTTAGAATACAATTTGAGAGCATGAATTATTATTCCTGCTCTATTATTACAATACAGTCTGTGATAATTTCACTTCAAAATTACCACTATAACTTTTGGTTACCACACTTGCATCTAGAATTTTAAAATAATTCTCTTTTTCATCAACCTGAAAGATCTAAAACCAAAATACCTGCCAAGCTCATTCTTTTGTCAAATTCTACACAGACTGGTTCAATTACTTTAGAACACAATTGACAAGACAAATTATTTCTTCTCTACTCTATTATTACAATACAATCTTTGATAATTTCACTTTAGAAATCATCACCATACACACACTATGGCTAAACTTACAATCACACAGTCTAGGTATATCTTTTGAATGACATTTTTCAATGCATATTTATACTCCAATAGAGGTCTGGAATGTTCTACACACTACTAGATATTATGATGCAATAATACTCAATTAATACATTGAGAAAATTTGGAAGGTTGTAGTAATATGACACAATAATATAACAATCACCAATTCATAACTATTGAACAACGCAACATATCCTTACAAACAGTTTATTCACAAATAGTTACATAAACAAACCTGCGATAAACTATCTCTTGTAAAAATAACTAAATTTAACACTTGCGCTATGTAAATTATCTAAATCAGAACCCTTGCATTAAACTGAAACAATTGTATGTATCTAACATACCCCTCCCTCTTCAGAATTCAGTAATGTTTGAATGCACAGCTATAAAGACTGTCAAATTACCAAAATGCTTTGACTGAAATATTGATCTTGGACTCATTCTACTTAGTTAAAGTAAATAATTATCAAAATATTATTAGCAGCTGGCCTTATAATCTACACTTTACAGAAACCACTAAACTTGTTTTCTTCATTCTCTGTGAAAAAATGTAACACTCAGTACAAAAAAATTAACAAATATTTCAAAAGATAAAGAATCTCTTCCCTCAAGTTAGAAATATAAAAATTAAAATATTTAAGTGAGAAAGCTGTATAGCTTACAAAAATGATTTTAAAATTTCCATCACAGTCATCATTTATGACTCATACCAAACATATACACAAAGTCCTAAGGAATTAAAATGATAATAAGTATCAAATCAAAATAAAGATTAGGCTAAATAAAATGAACAAAAAAGAGGAAGGAGGAATTAAGAAAACTCTAAAACTTTGCTCTTAGAGAAGTAACCTGCGTGTGTGTTTGTGTGCTTTTGGTTCAAGTCATAAGAGATGACCCTGTTTGACAGTTTCAGTCTATTTTACATAAACGATATCTATTGATAAAGTATATTTCAAAAGTTTTTACAGGATACTTCCTTTCATATATATATATACCTTTTTTTATATGTAAGATAGTAATTGAAATATATTTCTAAAACATATCTAGATATACAACATAATTTGAACACATAATATGGCATGGGATAGTATTGTTCAAAAACTGGTATGTAAACTATCTCATTTCAAAAGAAAGTTTTGAGGTGAGATCAGATGCTTGGTTGTGATCATTTTATTAACTTACATGCACTGATGAGAGTTCATCAAAACTGGTATTTTAATTTGATACTGGCTTTATTTCTACATCTTAGTTAGTATGTAATTTATTATGGTAAATAAAGCAGCTGACAAAAAATGGGGTAAAGCATACTTCCTATAATAGTCTTATTGCAAGTTTGTAGGAATACATTTCCATTTCAAATTTTTCTATGTTTCATAGAGAGTACACATCAAGTGGCTCCACAGAACTGACCTGTAGGTACACGCTTACGTGGACGTTACCTATCAAACTGGTGTCCAAGAAAGCAAGAATAAGTTATTTCCGAGGTTGTAATGAACTAATAGTCACAGTACATCAGCTACAGAAGGAAGATTCTGGTTTGTACATTTGTGAAGTTACTGGGGAGAGTGTCAATGTGAGGCACCCTGTCTCAGTCACTGTTCAGTCAAGTAAGTTTTATAACTGTGGAACTTGTGTTAAAGTTCTTCAATCATAGAACTAGTGTTAAATGTTGTATTACCATAGAACTGCACGTAGCTTTAAGTGCTTAGCAGTATGAATTTTAACTTGCATCCACCCTGACCACTGAACAAGCACTGAATTGGCAGTGAACAATTTTATTACATTCTAAACTAAAATTAAAGGGTAAATGACCATCTTGATATGCAAATCACTTTGCACATGGACTATTCAAAACAAATACTCAATATATTCACTGACAAATCTTTTTTTAGTTTATTTAAAATACTTCAATAAAAATATAATTTTTTGTGTGTGAAAGACTTATAATGTTTCCTGAAAGACTGCCAAATTTCGTGAAGATATACATACTATATTAAAAGTTAGTAGTATCAAATCTATAAAAACTTTAAACATGTACAAAGAGGTCACATAGTTGGTCAAATTGAATGAGTCAACATTGAGAGAGTTACAAAACTATTCTTCATCCCAAAAATCTCAAATATCATTTGTGTAATCTCTAAAACCTCCTAAATACATTTCAAACATTGGTTTTCAGTAAAACTTTATATTTTTATCTGCTATTTTCTCTACCATAATTCTGTATGGGGTCGGTCAATTGGACTGACCTCGCAACCACCAAAAACAATTTGAAATATATCTAAAATG